AAGATGTAACTAACCAGTAAAGTTAGATTTGTTGCTAAGGTTGCTTTTAAATTTGTTTTGATCATTTAAATTTCTGAAACAAGAACAAAAGAATGTTGAGTTTTGTTGTAGCATAAAAATCTAACAGCAGCATAAATTAAAGCATGCCTTGAAATAAAAGGTGTACTACTGGGACCGGTTGTATGAAAGCCGGATAACACTCTTTACCGAAAAGCAATTTTCTAACCGTCATCAAAGATTTATAATGCAAGATGTAATGCCTGTCATGTATTGTATTGTATTGAGAAGTGATCTTTTCACTGAAGTAAACAGAAGACTGGGGGGGGGGGGACAAATTTGTGCTCATGTATGTAATTTCTCAATTGATTTTAATAATTATACTGTCATGAGTGTCTAGTAAACAACAACATTTAACAGTCAAACATTTACCTGATGTGATTGGTGACTGGCATTTACTTCGAGGCCTGTTTTACAGGATTTAGCTGACTTATGCTGTTAGTAACATTATTGAACATTTAATACTTGATTTTAAGCTAAATAAATATACAAATTCAACTTGTCCTTGGTCTTCCTCAGTTTTAACTTTCAGGCTCTAGTACAAGAATAGCAGCCACATACACGTTAATACCATGGTTACCATCATCATATAATGGATTAATGTGCTCTTGCAACTGCTGAATGTGTTGTTCAGTTGGTTCAAAGTTGACTTCTGGCACTTGCACATTATTATCAGTGTCACAACTGGGTGGGGGCCCACCTCCAATTCCATACTCGTTCCAGTCTTGTGGGGCTGCAAAAACACCTTCAATAGCATGATAATCAGAGTTGGTCATAGCATTTATTGCAGAGTGCCACAGCTGTAAGGGTGAACGATTCCCAGCAGTACTCAAAGGATGATTGTTCCAAACATTAACCAATTCAATCAGAGACCTGTTTATACGTGGCAAGAACACATAATGCAAAATGAACAATTCACATTCACTATCAGGGTTTAAGAGGTTGCATTGTTCCAGGTAGTAAAATATGTTTCGATAGTACAAGACAATATTCTTTTTCACCTCTAACCAGAGACGCTCTATCCTCTGGTTGTGAACGCTTTTTCCAGTGATCATACTCCCTCGGTTTGGTCCTCTGTTGGGGTGATGCAACATGTATCTGGCTATATCCACATTCTCAGTGCCCATATCCGACCTGACACGAGACGGTAAACCAAAATGATCCACTGCATTGATAAACAATGATAACACTGTAGCTGCTCTGTTATTGGTACTGCAGCATAGGTACACTATGCATCGGCTAAATCCATCAATCCCCCCATGCACAACAAATCGCCAGCGGATTAGTTTATGATGGCCATCTACGTGCCTAGAACAAGAATGGCAGGTTTTAAAATATTGTATTGATTTGTTTTGTGGAAACACCACATTTATTTATTTTGCAAAGCTGTCAAACCTGTAAGCTAAATTCATCAGTGCAAATAATATATATATTACAAGCTTTGTCACATAATCACATCGTGTTCTCACAGAGCAATTAAATCAATTATAATTATTCCACCATTCAAACTTTATACAAACTTAGAGTTAGAAAGAACTTAAAATGTTTAAATAATGCCCAATTGTAGGCAATACTGATAAACAGTTATTTCTCTTCTGTGCAAACTAAATAACAACTTGAAGGGCTTTACTTGTATAAACTTTATGAGATGTTTCAATTCCGGAAAGAAACTATGCCCCTTTTCTTACCATAGAGCATTTGGACAAGGAACATTGTAAGATCTCCTGGTCACTGCTCGTTGGCGCCTCAGGGCCCTGCTGACTGGATCCACGGTATAAATAGCTTCTCGAATTCTCCATCTCTGCACAAAAATTCCTCGGCTCCTTAAAGCTCCAATCATGTACGTTTCGCCAGCATTTGGTAATAAATGCAACACTTGTGTCACAGCATCGCACAAATGGTCCTGAGAAATTTCTGAAAAGTTGTTTCTTGGGCCGCGAATTTGAGCCACAGGAAGCTGATACTGGTGACGTCTTCGTAAAAGCGTTCGGTAAGAAACGCCTGCCTCTCTTGCAACCTCTACCCAAGATCGATGAATGTCGTACAAACCAGATATCATTTGTGGCGGTACATGAAATCTTGGTCTGCCAGCATGTTCAATTTGTTCGACAGGGCACACAAATCCCAGTTCCAAATGGTAATCGCGGTGCATAAAACAAAGTTCCTGCACGTTTTCGTACAAACAGTTGACTTGACGATGAACAGTAAGTAAGAGTTCAATCAACTCCTCGTTGACTCTCATTTCAGTCATTTGTTGGCATTGATCGATGACAGCTTTGATAACATGGATGTGATCATCCAGTCGTCTTTCAAAGAATTCCAAGACATTGATATCATTACAATGAAGAGTCCGCTGAGCCTGGTTGTAAAGTGAGGGAATCTCCTCAAGAAAAAACTTGCACAAATCGATGTCTGCGTTTTCCGCCATTTTAACTATTCCCAGATAGCGTTTTGGCGCGTGCGCCTATCATTCATATGCACTCCGCTGACCTTACAAAACCGGCGCAGTAGCCGTAAATATTTTTTTCGTAGCCGTAAATATTTTTTAGTAGCCTTAAATAATGATGTTCCGATATAAATTTGTGTAGGTAACCATAAGTATTTTTGTAGACGTATATATTTTATTTATAAAATATTGTCATTTTTGGCACCTCATAAGAAAGACATTGTCTTCTCTATTGTTGTGAACACAATCACAATAGTCTAAAGTTTCTCAAGAATGTGAACGACTAATTATAACGATTAATTAAAAGCGTTAAGTTGACTAAATTTAACACGCTGGCTTAGTTTCTTGAAGCGTAGAGGAGTAATATTGCTTTCTGGCTGCATATATTTATTAATAATATTCATATCATAGTCTAACAGAAAATCGTGAACTGTAAAAACAAAGACATTTAATTCGTTTTTAGCACAAGCATGCAGTTATGAAGCCATGACTAAAGGCCGGATTCCACGAGGCGGAATTTTTCGACCGAAACGAAATTTCTCTTTGTCTTTTTACAATTAGTTCTGCTCGAGAGCTCTGAAACAAAGAGAAATTTCGATTCGGTCGAAAAATTTCGCCTAGTGGAAAACCGCCTTAAGCGAGGTGAAATTGCATTAACCTGGCAACAATTCAGATAATTTGTTACCTTGGGCGCTTTCATTAACACGGCCAGACTGGTCAGAACGGTCAAATTGTTGAATTGAACACAAAACATTTGGGCTTCGAACCTATCTGACCGGAAAATTTAGATAACATTAGAATGAGGTCCATTTTCGCTAGATATTTGAGAAACGTAGACCAGATCTTTCCATTGATACAGAGAAAAGAATTCGGGTCTGACTGGTCAGACCATTAAATGGAAAGCGCCCCTTAACTTAAGCCCCGTACGCGGCACGTACACGACTGTAGCTGCAATATTTTGCAATTAATGGCACGCACGGTACGGCAAAATTTGATGTGCGGCAAAAGTTAGCTGACTTAGGCACGGCATGTTTATTCTAAATATTGTGGGACATTTTACGGTAGCTACTGTATCCAATTGTTGGACCACCGTTCATCTGTTAATATTTATACGATGATAAAGCTATTAAAACTAAACTTTTACTAAACTAAACTATCGAATTCAAATGCGAGGAAATACTTTTGAAAACTGCGCATTCAGTTATCTATATGCTTTGTCCAGATTTACACCTCATTTAGGCTATACACGGCGCTAGACACATTTTGCCCGGATAAAGTATATCTTGCATGACCAAATTAAAGCAAAACATTTAGCGAACTCAGTCTACGTTGCCAACTTCGATAACATTAGTTTTACAAGTGTTTAGTTATTTGTTTATCAAGTCAAAATCTCGAAGGTTTTGAACGTTTAACGATTTGTACAAGATCGAAACTGGGTACTTGTATTTTATAGTCTTTTCATAAGACACTATTAAACTGATATCAAGTTTGGCGGAGTTAGAGTAGACGGTTTGGCAAATTTGAGAGCGGCCATTGTTGAACATAGGCTATATTTGATCTCATAAACCCCATTTGAAGATGCCATATCTTGGCACAAAAATAGAATAATCTAGACTCTAGTAGAATAATCTATAGTGGCTGGTTAATACACTCACTGATTGGTTACACCCCCCCCCCCCCTGGATTGCTTTGTTTTGTTGCGCGGGAAATTGGAAGAGGCGGGAAAATATTAAATTTCAAGATGGCGGCGGCGTGTGAAGAATTTCCGAGCGAATCTTTACTTCAAGAACTAATTTCTTCATTTCCTCTAGAATGGCAAGGCCTGTTTGCTGCTCTGAATGTAAAAGAAAGTCTTACAATTCATTCTGGCACAAAATGGCTGCGAGATAACTCGTCTCAATTGCAGAAAAACTTTATTTCTCCACACTGGCCAGATCTACTGCGTTCGCTATGCCTTCTGTTTCCACTGGTTCTAAACAAAGATGTAATTGTATTTCAGCCAAAGTTTGCTTGTTTCACGTTAAAAATACAAAGAAACATACTGTGTTTTATTGTTTATTATTCAGAGAGCATTCCTGTTGATGATATTAAGGTATTTGAGTCAATAAATGCAAATTTGTAAGGTCAAAAATGGCACATATTTGCATTTTTAAACCAACCCTCCCCCTATTGAGGACATGCCGATTTCCCAATAGCCCCCTCCCCCCAAAGTGAACCCAAAATGAAGGAATTTCCATGGGAGGGTTCAATTTTTGAGGCAAATCTGTGGAAATTCCACAGGGTAGGTATAAAAAGTGACTAAAACTTATGGAATTTCCATGGGATGGTCAACATGCAATGGAAAAGAAATTTCAGAGGGCAGAGGATAGGTTAAGAAATCAGGAAATTCCACTGACTAGTCGGAAATTGTCAAGGAGTTTCCATGAGGTGGGTGGGGTGAAAACTTCCAGACTGAACAGTACTTGAAGTTGTTCTTAATTGATTAAACAATTGATTGGCAAAGATTAATATTCAATTCCTTCTTGTCAATCAGTTAATTGTACTGATGCATTTAATATTTTATTTTGCAACTCAAGGTATTTGTTTCAATGCTAGTAAGGTTACCTCAAATGAAGCAATCCTGGTGTGCTGCTCTGGTTGCAACACTTGAAACAAAGATCAATAACAGAAAAACAGAAAATGCCGACATTGGGAAGACAAAGTCTAGTAGTTTTTATTTGAAGGATAAGAAGACAAGGAAAGTGAAGATTTCTGTCTGCAGTATTTCTGAAAGTAATCAAACAAGACTTGATAATTTATGTTCGAGGATAAAAACTAGTTCAGCATCAAGTAGTTCTTTGCTGACTGCTAGACTTGAGCTCATGGCCAATTCAAAAGAAGGCCAAATTGATGCTGCCAAGTGTGAAGAGCTGAAAATTGATCAAGGCAAATGTAACCCAGTGACTGATATGGAAGTTGACAATTCTATCCAATCAGAAGTAATTGAAATTTCTGACGACTCACCTGAAGCATCACCAAGTGAACCTATTGAAATTCCCAACCCCCCTGTCTTGTCAACTCACAAAACCATGGACGTCACAGTTCACTCTCAAGTAATATCACTTACTCGAGCTGTATCTGAAGTACCTTACCCCCAGCCTGATGATTCAACCTTACACAAAACAAATGAAATCCCAGCTAAATCTCTAGCAGCTTTGCCAACTTTGTCTGAAATACCGAACCCCCCTGACCTGGAAATCCAAAACATGGAAGTTGAACTTTCTGAAGAAGATGCTTTCATGAATCAATATAACCATTTGAAAAACCATTTAAGGTCTTCAGAAGATCTAGATGTTGAACTTATCCAAGAATTTTTAAACTGTTTTCTAGAAAATACACTTAAAGATTTGGTGACGATTTTCACGTTTTTGGAAATGAGCACAATTCCTGAAACCTCGACAATCATGCTTATCAAGCAATTTTTGTTGTTAGAGAAAGAGTGTAGCTTCCAGGCAACTGTCATATTTGCTTACCATTGTATTAGTGTGTGGTTAGGTGGTCTACAGTCGGCCCCATCACGAAACCTGCTTGCAGCTGTGACAACCTTTGCACAGAAGCATCCAAAGGCGTTTGTTGATGGTGTCATGGTGAAACAATTCAATACAACATCTTTGCTGTGGCCACAATGTGACTTGACTGTTAAAGTTGTCAAGAATTTTGAAAAAGAAACATTGCAGTATTTCATGGAAAAATTGGCAAAATCTAATGAGAAGGATTCATTTTCAGTCTGGAATGAACACATGATCCTAGTGCTCTCAACAGTCTTGGAAAGACGATTAGAACTAGATGTGTCAATTTTTGAGAAATTTGCAAACTGGTTGCAATTCCAGTCATTGCCACTTGCAAGTAATTTAAAATTTGCAAAGTTAGTGTTAACAATAATCAACAAGTATGGCTCTCTTGTAAAATCATGGTTGCCTACTTTTAAACAAATATTGAAGGAGAATAACACGTTTCTTAAGAAGTCCGGTTTGACCGCTTTGAAAAAACTGGAAGAATGATATTTTTGTCTTATGTTTAAAAACTGGTGAATTTCTGAGACAGGTAACTATCTTTTAATTTATTTTTTAATATAAAAAATAATATTGTGATCAATAACAATGTAATAAATAATAATGTAATAATATAATGTACTTATTATAATTATTATTATAATTAGATAATTGTAATAATTATATTTTTGTTCAAAAATAAGTATAATTACCGTAATGACTTAAAAGGGGTTAATCCAATCAACGATGCAGTCATCTAGATGTACAACAACTAAGGAATCAATCCATTGACAGTATTACCTGTTTTTATAGTTACAGTAAGTCTTATAGTTACAAACACTAAAGAGTTGCTACAAGCATAAGAGATTCTACAATAAGGTTTTTAAATTCCTAATCCCGTTTTCAAGTTTCTTATACTATTCTCTATGTTACTTTTTTGCTGCAGATACTGATTATTCTCGTTACGCGACTTCTCAAAATCTCGGAATCCTGCCTTTTTTCTTCCCGCTTGCCGTTTAATTTACCAAAACAAACGCTATCCCGCATTCCAAAAAACATCTTGCAGACTTCAGTTGAAATGTTTTAAGAATTAAGTCCTCCGTTAACTGAACGATCAAGACAGAAAGAATAAGAACTGTTGTAAGCTAGGTTTCACTACACTTTTAGATGAGTTCTATAGCAATAGACGGCAATATTTTGACTTTTTCCCACTCAATGGCTTAAGCTACAAAAATATTTCATTTTCTCTTCACAGGTCCTGATTTATCAGATGGCTGACTTATGCTTGGTCCACTGCCATCATCAGACTGTATTGTACTGTAAGATGGTCAATGCTTGGTCTGTTAATTCCCACGCTGTATTGTCTGTGGTAACGTGGATATTAAGTAATACTTCATCTAGGCTCATCTCGAGAATCGTATCCCTAAAAGGTATGTTGAAAGTATTGAATGACGTATTGAAAACGCCTTGAGTTCTGCTAGAAAGTGATAAGGAAATGCCACTGTATATTTATTTATATGTTTCTTATAAGGTGCCCAAATCAGGAAACATTGTTTCCACAACAAAGGTCACACGTGGAAAACAAAAGATGTTTCCGAATTTCCAACCTCGTTCCCAGGCTCTTCCCTCTTGTGGAAGAGCCTGGGAACGAGGTTGCCGAATTTCCTGGGAAACATTTTTCATGCTTGGGAAACAAATTTTGTTTCCCCAACGTGCATGTCGATGTTTGATGGTGCAGAAATTTGAGCTTAAGAAAAATAGATGCCTCACAACAAGTCCGAAAAATTTGGTCTGCATAATTGCAATATTTAATCGTAGCTCTATACTTACTTATTTTCATAAGAATCAACTATAGCCAACACTATCTTAGCAATGACCGTTTGCAGAGCCACATTCGTTGTGTGTGAAAACTGAAGCAGGGTTGGTTTTAGTTCGCCAGACTCTACCAGCTTGGAACAACCCTAGACGAATACAGGTTGTGGTAGACTAAGTATGAATATTAATGACACAAATTTACAGTCATGCATTCATTCACACAATGAACAAGATGCTGAAATGAACAGACTCAAACATACGTTTTCATCCGAAGCATAGTATAATATTATTTTCCCAGCCAAAAGGTAAAGTTGTTCGTCTTTTTCAAACTTTGGTACGGACAGAAGTTGTAAAAGCAAGTTGTTCTATTGAAAAGGTTAATACAATTTTAATTGAATGTTGTTCGTACTACACACGAAAAATGCACATGTTGTTACAGATCTGTAAACAAGTTGTAACAAATTTGTTGTTAAGACGCTATGTTCGCAATGCTTGTTCCCAGTTGTTGCGATAAGCCTAAAGAATGTTGTTATCACCTTGTTACAAGGTTGATGACGGTAACAGACTTACTGGGGGTGGAGTCTCCAGAGAAACGAACACATGACGTTTCTCGTGGACAAAATCGATATGTGAGGCTTCCCTAAACATCAATATTAACATCTAAACATTAATATCAGTACAAAATACATTATACCAAGGCGAGAAGGTCTAGCAAATTACCCGACTTTTTAGTAGAGTCTGCCCATAACCTATCGAAAGAAAGATGGCTGTGAAACTCATTCGAATATCAATACAAGACGCTCTATTGAGCGTTAGTCGCTGGGGCTATTGCATATTACGCTGCATGTGATTGAGATTAAGAATCAAAAATGGGATTCAAGGAAAAATTAAAACACAGTTCATCAAACAAGTCCCCGGACTATAGACGATAAACAAATTTGTCTAAGTTTGGTTATATCCAATTCACAACTTTACGTAAGTCACGTGCCTTTAGGCTGCATTCCAGTTACGTGTTTTTCATAATTCATATGTGCGTACATGCACGTAAAAGTTGAATTCGCTTTACATCCTACTTAAGGCTGATTTCCACTGTTGCGTTTTTCATACGTACGTATACGCACGTAAAACTTTAAATCAGTTTAAATGTTACTTATGGAATAACCAAATAAATAAAGCAACAGAATTCAGTGTTCCGCAAGTTTTAACTTATTTGTAAAATATTTAAAAAATAGAAGGATTCAAAGTTTTACGTGCCTGTACGTGCGTATGAAAAACGCAACAGTGGAAATCAGCCTTTATGAAATAACTAAATTTATAAAAGGACAGCATTCAGTTTTGTGTATGATTTAATGTGTATTTGTTAAGGTTATTTGCAGAGACGGATTTTCATATTTTCGTTCGGAGGGTGGATAAATATCTGAGGGGTGCTGCTGCTTGCTTTGGCCGGGGCGTGGTGGCAACGCCCGGAAAGGCCAAGTTTGTTTTCTAGGCCTGCATGGCGATAGCCTGCGAGCAGGCTCTCTGGGGAAAGAGAGCCTGCAAGGATCCCTATGATGATTCGGTGCATGCGTCCAATATTTGGACGCAGTGCTCTGATTGGTTGATAACTGATTCATATGAAGTGATTGACAAGCTTCCATAAACTTGCACTTCCCGTTTTGTAAAACCGAGCAACGCAAAGCTTCGGAATTGCGGCAATGTAGAGATAAAAGTGTCATGTATTTTGATCCTGGTTGACTTTTTACTGTAAATTAATATAGTATTCATATAAAGACGAATACTAAAAGCTTGCATGCTTTATTGTGTCTGACTCCTTGTCTGACTCCTAAGCTAAGAATAATTCTTGAGAAAGACTGCACAAATTCGCAAACCGAAACCTAGGGACAAGGCATTATATCGCTTCTCTTTTATGAAACAATATTGGGAATTCTGATAATATTCAGTGCATATTGTGTGTATTAAGCTTGTTTTACAATGTTATACTGACTATTTAATATTTATAAGTATGCGGCGTTAAAATGTACAGTAATTTACTCGTCACTTTGTTTACAATAATTACCACATGCATGTTTACTGCAATTCCACTTTTTGTTGCAAAATTTGAACTATAAACATATTATTAAATTATGTCCAATGTCCGTGGTATATCATATATGTCTATGTCTCACCAAAGCCATAAATTTCAGTAAGTTATATTATTACTATATATATATATAGACTGTATACAGTGTATATTATATATTGCAGCACGAAGCAATTCCAAATAACTGAATTAGTTAGCGGGTAATATACAACTTTAAACTTACTGTGCCTACAGGAGAAACACATGCAGATTGTAATAAAAAGTACAACTTGATATATTACTCTGTAAAACCTCGAGCCGTTTTAACTTTTTTAGTATGCCACAGTGGCGGTCTGTATACGAAACTATTAACGAATTTGAAACGAATCCGTTTATGTTTACAATATCGTAGTGCGGTATTCCGGTCTGCGCTGATTGGTTGTTATTAATTGACCTGTGACATCATAATTGAAGGGCGGCACGCAATCATCATAGGGATCCTTGCAGGCTCTCTTTCCCCAGAGATCTGAGACCATAATATTGGTAATTTTACAAATTTAGTAGTAAGAACAATCAAATATGAAACTATCAAATCAAAATATATGTAATTTTCGGGGGTGCCAAATGCCTTTGGGAGGGTGCAAATCATTTGTGCCCCCCCCAGAAAATCTGTGCCTGGTTATTTGCACTTATATGAAATTTTAAGCGAATTCAACTTTTATGTGCGTGTACGCACGTATGAAAAACGCGTAACTGGAATGCAGCCTTAAGTATCATTGTTCTAGTGTACTGAAGCATAGAGTAGAACAAAGATAACTAAGCTTTAGAATTATCTAGGTACATGAATGAATAAATGACTTATAGTGTATAGGGCTTATCAAATGCTTAGTTACTTCTGTTCTATTCTATGTGTGAACTACTGTAGAACACTAACTAGGCATGAATATTTAAAGTTGTGAATTGCATAGCAACAATGTAACTAACTTTGCCAAATTTGTCTATTATACAAATAACAAATTAATATGTTCTGTGTGTTTGAATTGTACAGTACAATACCTATTGTGAGATAACAGCTGTCCTGGGAGCTTTTAAAATATCATTTGCCAGCAAGGCAAGAAGCTCTATTAAACCCTTGTCCCATTAAGCAGATTCTATTTACATCCAAATAAACAGCAACTTGCGAATATTATTGTTGCAATTTACGAAGTTCCAACTTTGTGAAAATTGTGAACTTTTGTCGTCTATTTCAGGCTTCCAGCCTTCCAAGTTTACTCATATAAGATGACTTTCGGTTTATAAAGTTTGGCTGATGGGAAAACTATTAAGTTTCATCGAAAAAATGAAGAAAATATGCATAAAATCGATGAAATGATTGCCAAATACGCTCCCAAGTAAGCGGCCATCTTGAATCCAGCGACTGAAAGTAATGACTAATGACGTAATGTTTGACAAAAAAATGACGTAGGTCATTTTGTGACCAACAATCCGCGATGAAGCCGAAACCTATAGTCGCTGGAGGCACAGAGTGCCCCAGCGACTAATAACTCATTATCTATGTTAGTCAACGTTTATTCATAAATCTGGTCCGTCACGTGGGTGTTGTAATTTTGCCCAGCAAACCAACAGCAATGTTTTAGGAAAGTTACCTACCCGTGACTCGGACAATACTCAATGGGGTAAATTGGAATTTGCTATTGGTGGATTTGGCAAAAATACGACGGACCGTGATGGTGAAGGCCAGATTTATGAATAAACGTTGACTAACGTAAATAATGAGTTGTATTATTATAAGTAATAGCATGGCATTCAGGGCGATTAACGAAAGCCGAGAGGGTTTAGTAACATTAGAGGACTTTTACTAATACTCTCGAGGCTTGAGGGACATTTCATCACTAATCGACCGTAATGCAATGCTATAACTTTGTAATATCATAGCTGCCGAGACAATAAAACGGTTTCATTCAAAGGCGTTTGCTTTTTGACACTAATGACTATTGGGATGCCCGTTAATGAGGTTATGACTTATGGTTGATTTTTCATGTCTGTTAAATATTTAATTGAACATCAATACAGTATAAGAGATTATGCATAAAGATGAGGGATGATTGATAACTAATCGTTCCGTGGGATGATTATACTTTCTAATCGTCCCTCGTGTTTTAGCAACGAGGTAAATTAGTCATTAATCGTCCCTCGCAAAAAAGGAATTCGAGCTAGCTATGAAATTATTCTAATAAGTTTCATTGCCATCTTCTCTTCGATAGACCATGGTCTTCCCAACTAAATACTGACCGCGTTTCCTACGCCTATGGTTTTATTTTCTAAATGCTAACATACCTATTTCAATTTGGCTAATAAACAAGTGCAAAACTTTAGTCCCTAAAATGTCAATATTACTAAGTTAAAAAATATTTTTGAGTGTTTTCCCCAAGTGATTATAAGACGATGGTTTTTCTTCAAACTTTAGAACTTTCGCAGGTTCCAACACCTTTTTACATGGAACTTTTGGAGTGCTCATTTGTGGTATTTTATAACCCATGCTGACGAGATCAGACAACCATGCCTTCATAACGATCGCATCAATTGGCTTTAAGAATTCTTCCTCTACGCAAGCCACTGTCAACTCCATAATACGATTAAAAAAGTCCGATTTTGTCGGCTTCCATTTTCTGAGGAAATCGATAAATCGCCTTGCGTCATGATATAACGCTTTTTCGTCGATAAAATCGTCAAGGTAGCTATGAGAGTTCCTTTCTTGGTACGCATTCGGGCCGAAAAACGCCAGATAACCGTCAATTTCTTGCAAAAGGCGTATATCGTAATAAGCCCGCCAAATATCCGTGACTCGCATTGCGGGACCGGGCGGCATCATCAGGCCCCAAAACGCGTCATATAGGAACAAAGTATTCTGCGAATTAAAAGGGGCATAACTTCCTGGAGGTAACAAAACCGGAGGGGCTTTTGAATCGAATTCGACATCAAGTTTAACTCCAGCATCCTTACGAGTCAATCGAAACACTGCGTCTACATCCGGGTCTCCATTGACAACGCCTTGTTGTATCAGTGGCCTAACCTCACCACATTTTACAAACGTGTGTTGTGCGGGGTCGCCTATGTTCTCCAGAGGGTACCCCCGTGGCCATATACTCGATTGACCAAAGTGCTCGTATGGGTTTATAACCACGTGATCACTGGAGTATACCAAAAACGTGCCGATCCCCTTTGGCCTGAAGCCAATGTTGCCGTTGTATGGGTAGTTGTCGTCGTCCGTCTCGTAAATTATTTTTGCGCCATGTTCGATAGCGTAAAGGTAGCCAATTGTTTTGCGAGAATAGCTCTTATAAGGCAGGAACGCCGTAGTTCTATAACCAAGTTGCTTCTGTTTTTCCACGCTGAGGAACACCACATTGGGATACCTAAAATAACGAAAAAGGAACTTTTAAGCTAAGGCCCTGTCATACAATTTAATCTGTGAAAAAACTATCGTTTAGGAATGTTCGGATGAGAATTTTCTGGTATCGATATACCGGTTTTTCGCCTTTTAAATTAGATACGAAATTCCTTTGTGGAAATTTGAAGTAAATTTTGATTTTGAATAATTCGGAAAGTGGAAATACCGTTTATGATGATTTTGAAGCTGTTGTCTGCTGACACTTGTCACTGTTTTAACATGAAATGTCTACACTTTAGCAGTTTAGGTACTTTGCATTTAAGTATAAAAACAAATATTGATGATTTCGCCATATACATGGTGTGTAAATTTGATACGGTATATAAATAGGTTATTATGACTGAAAAACTCAGTCGTACCGAGATAGCCGGATAGGCGATATTTTTGGTTTCAATACCGATATTTTCGGTATGTCGGTATACCCCGAATATTCCTGCTATATCGAGTATCATCGAGGACAGCTATTAATAATATATTAATGCATGAAAATTGAAAATGAGCAGAAATTTACAATTAAAATCCCACAGGCCACATATACGTTTTAGACGGCCTCCGTTGGCGTTCGGCTAAATACAGATTATCACGTCTTGTCAGTATAGGCTATCTTTAAAACAGGGAACGGGGAATCGGGGAATCCGATAAAAATTTTATAAAAATTTAAATAAAAATTTTATTCAATTTACAATTTATGCAATAAAAGAAAATGAAGCTTAATCGAAAGTTTGACGTCACACCAAAATTGCAGGACACGAAGTCGTGAAAAAAACCCAGTTTAATACTTTTAAACGGGCATTTAATGTAAACTTCACGCAGGATATAAACTAAAGCGAATGTGTAATAGCCATGATTGCGCTAAATTAAAGAGTTTCGGTATGCATTGTCGCCATTTTTTGTTGGCACTTACATGTAATATAATATTTCATTGCTTTGATTGTGATTGTCAAATATAATAGCGGTAACACGTTTGCCAGTCGCTTTTTCCTGCTGACATTCATGATGTAATATGATATTTCATTGCTTTGATTGTGATTGTCAAATATAATAGCGGTAACACGTTTGCCAGTCGCTTTTTCCTGCTGACATTCATGATGTAATATGATATTTCATTGCTTTGATTGTGATTGTCAAATATAATAGCGGTAACACGTTTGCCAGTCGCTTTTTCCTGCTGACATTCATGATGTCTGGAGTGCATGGAAGCTTTAAAATGCCATCGCTAATAAAGCGAAGGCGAATAGATCATGGTCTGCCTCCATTTGATTGGAAATTACTTAAAATTGTAGAAGAGCTCGGTAGTGGCACTTTCGGTTCCGTCCATTGCGGGACATATGGAAAAGACAAGAAGACCGTGGTTATAAAGAAGCTTAAGAGCGAATCTGGTGACGCTAAAAGCCGCTTTATAAAAGAAGCCAAAATGCTTCTTGGAATTACGCATGCAAATATACCTGCATTTCTCGGCTTTTCGGATAGTCCTTATGCAATCATGATGGATTACGTAATGCTTGACTTCCAACCATTCGGACTTGAAAAACAAGTTAGCAACTTCGAAGATTTCTGCCATTTTGTTGATGATGAATGGAACTTTGACTCGTTTGCTGATGTTCTCGTTGTCTGCGTGAAAGATGTTGTTAACGCCCTCGAATATCTACACAAGCGTGATATCGCACACAGAGATCTGAAAGCGAACAACGTGTTAATAACCAACCAGCATTATTGCCACGAAGACAAAGAATCCGTTTCGCACATTTATGCAGAATGCCCGGTTGTTTGCAAGCTGACGGATTTTGGTTTAAGTAGATCGCTAGACGCCCAAACGCAATCGATTTTACAGTCTCGTACGGAAGAAATAATTCGTGGCACACCGGTTTATATGGCTCCCGGAATTCATCTGGGCATATTGAAAAGTGCAAACCAGATCGACTTAAAAAAACCCGGATATTTGGTATCCAGAACTTGGTATCAAATTGTTTTGTGGAACACCCTCTAGCTCCCGCACCCAAAATCGGGTTTGTCTGGCCTTTCTCTAATTCTCCCACCCAACCACACCATTATTCTGTCACCTATATGCAAATAAAAAATCCTTCGACCTCCTCCCCCCCCTCCCCAGTCAAACACCCGTTGCCTTCGTAACATCCCTATATGTGCAGTTCTAAATTTTTCTTCAAATAAACCCTGTGACAGAAAAAATATATGTAAACAAACCTTGCATGCACATTGACGTTTTAAAACCAATCGATCGAATAAAAGATTCGTTAGACCTTGCCATTGCAAATAACCAATAGTTAACGCGTTTATCAATATAACTATGAAATACAGGCTTTTTATAAGTTTATTTTATCTTAATATACAAATTTATACCCACTTCCCAAACAACGCCCTCTTCGGTAGTGGCGACTTCTGATACGCTCGCCCAGGGACGTAGCGACTGGGGGGGGGGGAGTAAATCCCCCCAACTGTGAAACTCAGGTAAAAATCAGGTAACATTCAAGTTGAAATCAGTTTGAGATTTCAGGTAAAATTTGCGTAATAAAGTCGTTATTTTCGTGAAATTAATGATAACCATTTTTGTAAAATACAGTGAATTTAGATCCAATTCGTTTGCGAATTTGTTTTAGAAAACGCCAGAAAACGGCAGTCCTGTAGCTTGAAAAATGTAACAATTTTCAGGGGGAGGATCCCCCAGACAGATCCCCTTCTTCGGAAACTTAGATCTATGATCTATTCGCCTTCGCTTTATTAGCGATGGCATTTTAAAGCTTCCATGCACTCCAGACATCATGAATGTCAGCAGGAAAAAGCGACTGCCAAACGTGTTACCGCTATTATATTTGACAATCACAATCAAAGCAATGAAATATCATATTACATCATGAATGTCAGCAGGAAAAAGCGACTGGCAAACG